AATAATATATAATAAATAATATATATATCGTATATAATATAATAATATAATACATGTACAATATATAATAAAATATATATATAGTGTACGTATGTACTCGTATATATATGTATGTATACATAAAATAACAAGTTTACCACCAGAATTTTCGAAATTATGTTAATATATTCCTTGATTTTACATTACGATAGTTCAAGTTTCTAATGATAGATCAGTTTAAAATTATCAGTTTCTTTAAATTTTTAAACAATTTATAACTCATTGGAAGAAGAAATAGATGACTTTAAAATATCATATAAATAGTAAATATAAGTAATAAAATATGAAGTAATTTCACTGATGAGACTCTTTATTAAATGAAAGTATTATAATAATATTTTGCATTTCCATCCGAATGCATCAAATGAACAGCACGATAGAATGAACACGTATTCGATTAACTTGAAACTCACCGTTTTGGTCATCTCGGTCACGACTGATCTCACCTAAAATCGACAAATTCGAATTAACTTCTGCGTAGACATATATTTTTTGGACGTAGCTAATAGACAAAGCAACAATGATTAAGACAATTACTCGGTGCCACGCTGCTCGTGACCTAACTCCCTTCATTATAACGCATTGTACTTTTTATCGACAAGAGCCTACAGCCTCATGCTTACAGGCACGCATACTTTATCCTAGATCTTTGCACGTGCCATCTTGTGGACTTTGAATAACTAGAATTGCAACGGACTGGCGAACTACATGTGGTTTTCAAGAATACGTCGAATGCAGTGCTTGCTATATCAGCAAATGAAAAGGAATTTTATCTAACGAAGTTACATTAATAATTGTAATACTAATTTTCAATGAATTTTTCCATTAATTAATTTTTACGTTACTAAACTCTTACACTAATAGATTCTTCACGTTCTCGAATTTTTATGTTAATGAATTTTCACATAATAAAAATAAATAATACGAAGATTCGTATGTAAATAAATCGAACAAAGTTATTAATTATTCGTAAAGTTTTAAAAATATGGTAATTTTCTTCAATATAAATTTGTACCATTTATTTTCTTATTATAAAGTTATAACAATTATTTCTTCATTTTTTAATCTATTATTTTGTTATTATTTCTGTGTTACCTATTGAAGTAGATTCTTTCTTATTACTGTTATTAATAAAATATTCAAAACATTCAGTGTAAATTAAAGTACAGTATTTTCATATAGCTATAGAAGCCTTTGTGAAAATTTCAAATATTTGTAATATTAATTTGAACATAATTCCATTTAAAAAAGAAGGAAATATTTAATAATGGAAATATTTGCGATTACTTTTATAACATATATATCATAACACATTTTATTGAATTTATTTCATGTAAAATCCCTGTAAAATATTGATATTTATCGAACACAATGAATGAAGCATTCTCAAAGATTTGTATCCCTACATGAGCAAATTTTTGAATGAAATAATCATTTCGAATGAATGAATTTCGAATAATGAAATGACGCGAAAGTATGAGAATGATGACAATATTTACATTGACTATCTATAATACCATAAGTTATAAAACAACCTCAAACTTTAAAGCAGACATCGATGCATTAGATTGTTATTCAATTTCAGAATACATGTCATGTTCCCTTTCAATTTGAAAACAAAAACTCGTGCCATAAAATTCGTAACAATATCTCCATATAAGAACAAATTTGACGTATTAATGAAAACCAAGCAACGTTCACGGACACAAGCAATTTCTAGCCATTGCGGCACGTGCTCTTTGCAGAAGACAAGAAAAAAGTAATTAGGCATCTCTCGCGATAATCGAGTGAAGCGCCACCTATGCAGGGTATTCATCGCAATCACCATGATTTTCCAGGAACTTATTGCAATTCGATGAAAAAGTGCTTCGAACAGAAGTTTATTAATACTCAGTTGACAACGAATTGCACTAATAAAAATTGCCCTCAAAAAATTTTTATTAAATAACAAATCAATGTCAATTAAGATCTTTTAAATAATACTATATAATTCTTTTAATCCTGTATTGAAAGTTAAGTAAAAAGTAATTCATTGATGTCATACAAAGTTGTTTTTCTTAATAACTTCTTTAAAAAATCAGTTTGAAATTTGGTAAGTCGTATAATATATTGATGTTATAATATTAGTTTATTTATTATTTGTGCTAAATATTTTGATAACACAAGAAGGATATTTCCCACGAGAAAGGGGTCGAATATAAGACAAATACATGTCAGATTAAATGATATTATTGGATATGAAGATATTTGTTTTGCACTCGTGCATGAAAATATTCAAATACACACATTTCCTGTATTTGATAAATGATTTATATCGAACAGAAGTATTTAAAACAGTTCCAAAATTATATTAATAATATTAGAAAATAATTCAATGATTTATACGATATTTATAGTACACTTAGTAGATACGAGCCGTGGTGGCGCTAGTTTGTTCAATGGAAAATCATCTTAGGATCGACATATCCAAACTAGTTTTTTTTCAATTACTGATATCTTCAATTGTTATTATACATTACAATTGAAAATTTTCGTGACCCATTGATGTCAATTATTAATTGCAAATTATTTTCTAATTTTATTGATCTAATCTTGCGACTTTTTTTTTGTTATATTGTTTCAAATACTTCATTTTAATTGTATGTATTTCACTTAGTGACTAGTAGCAAATATAAATGTCCAAATATTTTTATATGTAAGTGTATTATACGTGTTAACAATTTACCAAATTTCAGATTAATTTTCCTATGAAATTAATTAAGAAAGTCAACTGTATATTATATCACTAAATTTGTCTCAATGCCACGTTCAATACTGGATAAAAGGAATTACGTGGTGCCATTAAGAAAAGTCCAAGTGACTTTTTCGTTAAAGAAAAAATTTCTTGGCAATTTTTATAATCACGATTTATTAAGTACCAATCACTTTCTGTTCGAAATATTTTTCCATCGGATTACATGCTTGAAAGATCATACCATTACGACCAACACCCCGTATATTCGATATATGGAAAAATGGAACACAAAAAACATGAAAATGTGCTTTGTCTAAGGTTACCATAAAATAAAATCAAAATAACAAATGTGTCTGTTAATCTACCGTGCTTTCTACAACTATTAGTTCATTTGTTTACACTCGATATTCAAATTACACAAATAAAAAACGCATATATGTAAATGACAGTAAACTATGAATATACTCAGGACATTATGCGAGTCAACACATATCAAAGAAGAAATATTGAAAAAATTGTATTTCTAAGCATCCTAAACCAAAGTGTATAATATCTACAATAGAACACAGAAAATTCATCGAAAAGATCGAATATCACTCAAAATATCTGAATTCAAACAGCATTTCTCAAACTATCCACGATATTTACTCTCATCTGTGCTCTTGTACACATAATTTACGAATGAAATGCTATAATTTTCTTTTTTCTTTTTCCATCGAGAAAATTTCTTTTGCATATATCTTTTTTCTTCTTGCTTTTTTGTCATAATAATCACAGGTATGGCAGAACAAAATCTAAAGAGTGAGAAACGCTGATGTCTTTAAACTCCTGCTTCACTACTTACGCAGACGAACACCAGCAAATGTATTGCACATATTAATTATGTGGAAAGGTGTGTTTGTCGCGGATAAGGTTATCAAGCGTTTTGAATTTGACTTTCATTTCCTGCACTATTATATTACCGATTGTCAAAACGAATTTTTCACACATCAAATACATTTATTATTCCAAATTGTATCGTTTGCACTCAAGTTATATGACCAACTTTTTAATACAAGATATAGCTTTCTATGACAAGAATTTGAAAGAAATTAATCACTGCGTTTTCTCTATAAACCGATGTTGCTTCGAAACTATAAAAATTAGCAAATAAGAGGTAAACGAAAAATGAATGAATTAACTAATTAATATCGAACGGAAAAATAATCGGTGCTATACAGTCTAGTAACTAATGGAAACTCTATGATGATCGTACGTGTTCTACGAGATCTGAGTGACTTTGAGAAAAGTGACGAAAATAAAGAAGAAATGAGAAAAAAGGGGGAAAGAAAACGGAAAAAGATGGCGTGTCGTCTAATAACGAAGGTAGTGGTATGACAGCGTGGTGAGAACTAAAGTTGGACTACAAAAAAGTTAAATTTACTACGCTCTTGTGGAAATTAATAAAATTAATAGTTAACATAAGGTGCAAACTATAACGTGTCTACTTAGCTGCATGCACTCATCGAGAACGGAGAAAGTAGTAGATAATGACAAAATATTTGTTAAATCATTGATATTTTGATCGCGAATATAAGATTTTTGGCAGATTTTTTCTTCAAATTTTATTCTACTTTCTCCAAAATCGGTGTGAAATTTGAATAGCACGCTTCTCGGTACATATTCCATATATATTTGGAAACAGTGCTGGAGTTTTTGAATGCTAATTTATTTGACATACTATCGTACTATTGGACTTTTTAGCGATTGTATAGCTGTAAAATTTTTGTGAAAATATTTTTGTTTATTAAAAATATAGTATTCGTTAAATTGATAAGTTGGAACAATTGTTTAAAATGAATATTTAAAATAAATTAATTGTGAATTCAATTCAGTTACTGCTTAGGGCTATTAGTTTTTTCAAATTAATTTAATTTAATTAATTTAATATATTCAGCAGG